TTTATTATATTATACTATATTGTATTATATTATATTATATTATATTATATTATATTATATATTATATTATATTATATATTATATTATATATTATATTATATTATATTATATTATATTATATTATACTATATTGTATTATATATGTACACATACATACATACATACATACATACATACATACATACATCATACATACATATGCGGACATACACACCCTATACGAATATATAGATGTACTTTAGGGTTTGAGTCCTACGGTTCATCTCTGATTCTTAGGACTTGGGGTTCGACGTTTGGGGTATCTGGGGTTTACGGGAGAGCATCAGGTTCAGGGCCTAGATTGTGGGGCATACACGCTTAGAGGATTTAGATGTAGGTGTCGTGGTGGGAATTCGCAGGATGAGTGCGCTTTAGAAGCCTCTCGACTTTTGGGCAGGGTCCTTGGGACTTCGGATCTGTAAGGCAGCTTTCCTGCTTGAGCCTCCATCCATCCGCGCGTTTCTCCATTCAGACAAGCCAACTTCGACCCGAACCCAACCGCACGAGTCCCCATGCCACCTGATGCTTCTGAAGACCTGCACGCTCGAATCAATGATGATTCGGGTCAATGCTCCGCGGCTTTTCCAAAGCCCTCCTGCACCTTCAAACTTTCCAACGGTTCGAAGAAGCTTGCGAACCGAATCCCTGAAGCCTACAGAACCCCGAAGCCTCATCATCTCCTAAAGCCCGAAAGCCCCAATCAAATCCTCGCCTGGTTTCCTCCGAGGTTTTGCTCGCGGCACGTGTCATCTCCCGCAATGCCGGCTTGGCCACCGTGGCCACGCCCGCTCGCATCCCTGAGTGCTGGTGCAGAGCTAGTTGCCGAACTAGTAAGAGTCAGTCCAGGTCCTGGCATGCTCCGAACTTAGACACGCAGTGAGCAAGTCACCGACACTTTAATCTTGCTTGGTTCATAGAGCATGGTCGCTGCTGGTCGCTTCAAAATTCCCGATGCTGCACTCCCACGAATGTGCATGAGAGACTATAGACTTTGGACATCTTTGGAATTATATAGCGAATAGCGGTGCAATCCTGCGAGGGAAGGGAAGACTTCAGCCTTAGGGGCAGGGTTCTCCTGATCACAGCGAACTAGAGAGTGCTTGCAAAAACGAAAGATTTACAGAGACAGAGGCCGATGTTTCGTGGCAAGGGACGTGGTTACAAGTATTCAGTATTCATGTGTGCGAACGTGCCCGACAAACTTGGCCACCTCAAGCCTGCCCGCCCTGCCTTCCGACCACTCTCCAGAGCCTCACCGTGTCTCATCCATGGCGTTGCCTATGAAGAAGACCGTGATGAAGGCAATGAAGTCCACGCCCATGAAGGCCAAGGCCATGAAGCGAACGAAGGCCGGTCCTTGCAGGGGCACGCTGTTGTTCTGCTTGTTTTTGTTGCCCTGCAGCAGTCAGGTGATGAAGAAGAAAGCCGTCAGCAAAATCGCTCGCGGCAAGCTGGCCAAGGCAGCTGTCTTCCAGGGCCGCAAGGAGACCTTGGTGACATGTTGCAGAAAGTCCAGCTAATTAGGCACGCTTGGCCACAAGCCGTAGGCTGCAGGCATGATGTCACCGTACAGGTAGCTTCACGAGCTGTTTCAAGCATGCAGCTCTGCGAGGAGAAGACCTCGACAGGCCTCCAGAAGATGCACCTCATGAAGAACAAGTATGGCAAGGCAGGGGTGCTCTGCATTGCAGTTGCTAGCATCCTTCGGCAAATCTGGATGAACGATTTAGCGGGAGTCCTCCGAACGTGGGGGATCTCCGAAATCAACAGGTGGTCAGCAAGAAGAAGCACGCCAGCGGCAAGCAGTTCCAGAAGTTGGGGCAGAAGTGGATCAGCGCGGTGATGACTGCGAGAAAAGAGCTGGGCATGAAAGGCTTTTGCGCGGTAGGCGGCAAGAGTGCCCAGGGCAAGGCGCTCTATGCCAAGGCCAAAGCGCTTTATGCAGCATGAGCGTGACGGGGCTCGTTTGCTTTCGTGGTAGTTCACGGAGCAGGCCGTCCTCGCGCCGGAGCTGTCGTGGCTAGGGGTGTACAGCCGATCTCGTGCTCTTTGAGATCCGACCGGTTTCGAAGCTTCGAAACGCAGCGAAAACAACCTGCAGCCCACCGCATGCGTGACCCAGTTCTCTCTCTCTCTCTCTCTCTCTCTCTCGCTCTCTTGCTCCGTCTCTCTACTGGAGATCCTTCTCATCTAATTCCTGGCATTCTTGTGCATGCCTTCCTGAGGTCTGCTTCTATGGCGTTGGAGAGGCTCATTTCGAGGCTGGCCCTGTCTGCGTTTGGATTCTTTGTGGCCAAGGGCAGTGCCGCGATGGTCCAGCATAGTTTCATTGCACCGATGAATCCTCATCCCGACCCCCCTCGAAGTGAAGATCCTGTGCTCTGACCCTGTGCTCTGACGGTCGCTGCATGTTGTGGCTTCAGGTGGGTCATCCAACTTGCGTCACGGCCTTCGACGATGATCCGGAGATCGTGGGAGGACAGTGGACGAACTGCCATGGCAGTGAGGTAGGGCAGAAGTCCCAGAATCTGGCGCCGTGGATGCCGACTTTACATGTACAGCTCTGGGGCTTTGCTGTTACTTCCGTTTTGGCGGCAAAAGTCATTGTTGCATGCTTGTGCTTCAAGATGCTCCACTCCAAAATGACTCGCAAAGCCGTTAGTTGCAACGCTTCTTGCCATACGTGCAGGAACCACAGGTACCAATTGCCATGTTGGCTGGATGCCCAGTGGAAATGGCGGGGCATAGTCTGTGTCAGTTGTCGTTGTTCTGGCTCGGCTTTGACTGCGGGCAGAGAGGCTGTGGAATTGTGCTTCCCGGTAACCCCTGCAAGAATGATGCATGCCCGCAGAAGTCTGTTTTCAGAAGCTGCACTTGAGTTTTGGAATGCTCTTGACTGAAGCTGTCAAGGTGTGGACTTTGGGCCATTCACGAATGGCCGTGTCGAGAAGATCCGCTGGCATCCGCTCTATGACGACTTGGAGGCTCGTTCGTTGCCACCGCCTCTTTGGCGGAGCACAGCTGCAGTTTGAATCTTCGCGGTTCCTGACGGAAAGGGAGCGGCTACATTGGCTCAAGCTTCGCCGCTTCGATGTGCCAGCTTCCCGCGCCGGCGTTGGAGTTGAAGACCGTGTGAGCCATAGACCAGTCAGCGACAGGACCCTGCTGGCAGAAGGCGCTGGTAAGGTGTACATCCTCGAAATCAATACATCCATATACATCCACAACCACTGCGGCTACCGTGGCGCAGACGCTGATGAAGGCCTTCGTCGTCGCCTGCACCATGGTAGCCGCGGTGGCTTCATGGGCTGCTCTGGTGACTGCGCAGCTCTTCGTGCGCAGCTCAATGCAGTTCACTTCCCGGCCACCATCGACAACGGCAACCTTCAGACTGCGGAGTACATCAAATTCACAGCGGGCTTCTTCAATCTGGAGGCGGCTGCGAACCAGTTCTTTGATGCCACCGTGGCAGCCTACACCGCCAATGCTGGCCAAAGCAACGGTCCAAAGGTTGCGTGGATTGAATACAATACGCGGGGTGCCCTGCCGTCCTATCGGGTGAGCATGGCGGCATACAGAGCACAGATGGTCGACGCGGCGGCAGGCCGCATAGTGAACGGCAACGACCTGCTTGCAAAGGGCATGGCCGTTAGAGACATCGTGGCTAGCAACCCGGCAGCTGGTAAGGTGTACATCCTCGAAATCAATGCATCTGAAGCCACTGCGGCTACCGTGGCGCAGACGCTGACGAAGGCGCTTCATCGGCTTTTACTCCACGGTAGCCGCACTGGTGTCGGATGCGCTGAGCGACGTAGACATCGTGGTTGGTGAGACGTATGCACCAATTCCCAGAACGTACACCTTTACCAGCTTCCTGACTGGTTTCCACCTCACAGAAGCGAGCAACCTGAAGTTGGTGAAGGCCGGTGGGTAATGCGATGTGAGCAGAATCCAGAGATACCCAGAGCATCTGAGCTTGAGGCCCCTACATTAGTCTAGAGCTTGCTGTGGATCCTACCCAAGTCGCCAGGACAGAATGGTCTTGCGCTGGGATGGCACTTGAGCGAGTCGGACGGTTTGGATTGGTTTGTGCGCCGGCCTGATGATTTCCAGGAGGATTTGGGTCTTCGCCGATGGCTAGATATGGCTAAATCCTAGCCACAAGAATGTGCATCATGAAGTCGTTGCAGGGTCTGACAGGTCTCGAAAACTGTCTTGTGCCACGAAAACAGGTGGACATTCGAATTGTCGCCATGAATGAAGCCAACGTGGAAGCAGCCGAGGAATCGCGAGTTTCTTCGCCTGACTGGGCTGTTGATGGCTTGGCTCGGTATGTGAAGAATGACACATCGATGCAGCAAAAGTACTTTCGCAACATCGCCACTGGTGAGATGCCAGCGGTCATCCATCCGTGCATCCCAGTGCATTGAAACCGCGTGCGACGCAACCGCTAATGAGGCCCCTCATTTTGTCGCCTAGGCAGGAGGCGGGGCTCTCAGGAGCTCAAGGCCGTGCCTGCCCCATGCTTGCCATCCTTGCCACGATTGCATCTTTGGCACTCTGGCTGTGCTGAACCGCTGAGCCCTTTTTTCCAAAGATTTTGACCTGCACCTCTAAGCAGAAGCGAGGAGCAGTGAGGCCATCCATTACGGAGTGGCCGAAGTGAGGGGCTGTGTTGTTCAGTTTATTCGGAGAATATGACCGTGGGCAGGCTAATCAGGCTAATCAGTGGTCTGTTTAAACGGTATATTGGGGTTCCTGCAGGGAATCACATGCATTCGTATTCGGGTGCATTGTCGCGGTATCAAGATGTACATGTAGCACATAAAGAGACGGCCAGCCTGTATCCAGAGTCACTTCTTAAAGGGGGCGACGTTTTAGCGTTCCCTCGTCCTTTTTGACTTGAGACGTCCCGGATGAGCAGCGACAGCAACAACCGATGGATTTACAACATGCGTACTCGAGTAGGGCCAGCAACGCTACAATCGTGGTGGTGCTGGGCAGTGTTTCAGTCATCTCGCAAGTACACCAGCAGCGGCAGCTGTACATGTGCTCTGCTCCTGGAGCAGGGCCCTGCGCGCAGTGAGGCGCAAAAGAGAGCTATCAAACCAGCCACTCTGGATACTATGATGCGCAATATTATAATGCCTTCGAGCTTGGCATACTGCACTCTAGCCTACTATAAATGATCTATGATGTACCATGGTATTGCCAGGAAGAAGCTCAGAGACACCGAACTCAGCTCTCAAAGCAGGCCGAGCTCTACATCAACTCCAAGATCCAGATCGGCCAGCTAAGCGCATCGCAGACCTGCGACGAGCTGAGTACGGGCCCCGGCGCCGATTCGCGCAATAAGTGGACAGTTCTCTACATCAGGGTCCCTTTTAGGGTCCGTCTTATAGGGTGCCCTACTATATCGGGGCCTAAAACGGGACCCTACTTTCGAGAACTGCCCAAGTGCTTATATTACTATGCAACGATGTACAACCACAGGCATAGACGTAGCGTCTCGATACACGTTGCAGAACAGGGAATAGGAGACAAAGGCGGATACCCGTATGCAACCCCATCTCGCGTCATGTTGGTCTTCATTTTGAAAGCTCCGACATTTACACAGAAAGGAGGCAATTGCTGAATCACGAGTACCCTGCAAACCAATGTTAAACCCTAAACCCTGCCATCCTACTCGCCAGAGCGCAGCATCCCTTTGCTTCTTGAGGCTACGGATGGCGTGGAGTGGAGTATATGGGCTGCCAGGCCTCAGAATCCACCTTAGGGCTCTGGGTTTAACTTTTTAAGTGTTCAGACTGGCACCATCCTGCCATGCGCGCAGGCTCATCTGTGCGTTTGCTTCGCTGCTTCACCCACGGCCAACGCTGCCCTGAACGCACATCCCACACCCTGGACCCAGAAACCTGATCAAGTGTTGCCGAGTGCGCAGGATGTCAGCGAGAAGGGCAATCCATGTGTAGGCCCGGGCCACGGGGCGCACGGATCCTGCACCGCCAGTCTTTCCTCAAGGTAGAGTTGGATTTTGTCAAAGGCCAATGTTTTGCTGGGAGCCCTGTGACCACTAAGGCTGGGATGGTGCTTGCCTCAGGATTGAGATTTCAGCCGCAGGTGTAAACGAGGTTTTCGAAATCTGCATGGCAGTCGCATGCATGTTCGTCTCGTTCCTTTGTGCTTTTTGGGTAGTTTTCTTTGCTGTCAAGACAAACCTTCATTCAGGCCTCGCCCAGTGCTACAAAAGTTCTTTGGACGTTAGCCTGGATGCCTGCAATCACCATCCGGCCAGCAAACAAAGATGAGCAGTCCGGATTGTCAGGGACCGCTTCTGTGATTTATTGTTATTGGTTGTGACTGATTTGGCTGCCTGGCCTGACAGACTGACTGGCAAGCTCATAGATCCTGAACCCTAGACCCCACGGCTAGCACAAACGTGGCGTGATTGTCGGACGTGTTAACTTAACGCTTTGCTAGCAGGTCTACGTATTTGCATTCATTGCCATGTGTTTGCGTGTGCGCCGCATTCCACTCCTCTTCAGAAGCTCAAGCGTCCTTGAATTGTCCAGTTTTCTGCCCAAGCACGTGCCAGCATGCCGTGCTCCAGTTTCCGTGGCCCGTGCTCTGCGATGGTGTTGTTCTCCGCTTGCTCAGCCCTGCGAGAGGACATGAACAAGTCCCACATCCGGCAAGATTTCGGTGATGTGACAGCAAAGTCACCGTCCTAATCCTCGTCATCACCATCGTTTTCGTCATCGCCGTCATCATCGTCACCATCGCCATCACCATCATCATCATCTTCTTCATCGTCATCGCATCATTTTCATCATCATCACATCATCATCATCACAATCATCATCATCATCATTATCATCATCATCATCACCATTACCATCACATCATCTTCACATCATCATCATCATCATCATCACCATCATCACGTCACCATCGCCATCGCCATCACCATCACCATCATCGCCATTGTCATCGCAATGGTCATCGTCGTCGTCATCGTCATCGTCGTCATCATCATAATCGTCATCATCGCCATCATCATCAACAGCATCATCATCATCATCATCATCACCATCACAGTCATCATTATCATCATGATCACCGCCATCCCTGATGACCATGGCTGCTAGTAGTCAGTTATCAATCAGTGTTGACAGCACTGATTCAGCTATTGCTGCTTCTGCTGCTGTTCACAGTCTTGTTCTTGCTCTTCTTCTTATCTTTGGGAGCAGAGGTGTCAGCGACTACGCTGACCGCTTCCCCAACATGAAGGGGCCGCCCTCTCAGAGTATTTGGGGCCAGCCGGTTCCCGGATCCAATGCTTTCGGCGAGTGGGATCTGGGCTCATGCTGCAGGTTGCTTCGGGGTCAAACCTGCCGTCTCTATGAGGGCGCATGGTGCTAGTACAGCCCTTCTGGTCTTCTGAAGGTGGGGGATCTTGTCACGAGTACAACCGTTGCGGGGCCTGACCAAAGAGCACAAAAGCCAGAAGTGCTGCAGTCTGCTTCGGCTCCAGCACGCTGCTGCCCATTGCAGGTAGAGACATTGTCAAGGCGACGCTAAAACTTGACACTTGACATACTCCTCCCGCTCTCTCTCATGTGATACATAGCTGCTTTGACGACCTGTTCTGAGTGCTGTGTATGAAAGCGCCCTTTGAAACGAAGCATCTCCTCGGGGTGCCCCTTAGGCACAGCTACTGCCGGAACCCCGAGCCTGGGAGCCGGAGCCCTAGCAGCGTGATGAAGAGAGAGGTTGGAAGCGTTCGAAAGAGGACCCCTGATTTTTGTGGTACATTGTATGATATTGTATGTACCCCAAGACCCCTTCTAAGTCTAATGAAGGCCCCCAGATGATACGAGGGTCTTGTGGGGGAAGGGTGCCTGCAGCGAGCTTCTTCCGTCTTCTTCCAGGAGGGAGCCGTCCTGGAAAGAGTCTGAAGTCTCAAGACGATGAAGACGGCATCGTATTTTTCCTTTTATGCAGTGCCTAGGCTAATGGGCCAAGATGCACGAGTAGGATTCGTTTCATGGAGACTCACTTTGAGTGGAACATGGGGTCGACGACACGACGAGAGTCACTGCAGCGAGACTTTCGGATGGTTCGCTCGGAGAGGTCTTTTGGCGTTCAACGTGCCACCACCATTTCGCGCTTTCGAAACATCAGACCCTGGAATCCGGCCCACTGCAAGCTCAGGATATGAGCGCGGAATCTGGTGCCAGACAGCGAAGGGACGTTAAGCCGGCTTGTGTTGCCCACTGCGGAAGTGCAAGGACCCGTGACATTTGGCTCTTGTTCGGGAGCTTAGTCCGTCCGGAATAGCACCAGGTCCGTGCCCGAATCTCATTCCAGCGCGTGCTATGTGTATAGAGCTGTGATGGATAGCATCGTTTGTCATCTGTATTTGTTACAAGTAAAGCCCCATGGGAGCCCCTACAATGACGCCAGAACTCTGATTAGGGTCTCTCTTGTAGATCCGTTATTGAGAAAAACGACGTCGTAGATGAGCAGACGGCAGGGAAAGAAGCACGCAGCACAGCAGAAGAAAGGACGTGCCGTGCTGGCAGCCGATAGACGGAATCCTTTGCTAAGCTTGCTGGGTTGCGGCGCACAGGATGCCTTTCCATGCATGTTGGAACGGCGGAAGAAGAATGAGCCAACAAGGCAGGAGTAGAAGCAAAACCCATCTGCAACTGTTTAGGAAGAAATGCAAAACCCCCCTTGCAAATCCTTAACCTCCCTCCCTAGCTGCCAGGCGAGTACTGCAACCCCAAGATGCCCAAGATCGACTGGACGGATATCACCACCATCACGCCGCCTCGGCATGTGGGGTCGTTTATGCGAAGTCGAGGCGCCATGTTGCGATAGCTGTCGAAATCGTGTGCAGGTAGATTTCCAAGGCTT